TCTGACTCAGCTGTGAATGCCTGACAGTTCTAAAGGTCGCAATCAGACAGCAATATCTGGAAAAGGTCCTGCAGCCGTTGGCACCCCATGCTACCCCGCCACAGAAGCGGAGTTAAACGACACCGGGGAAAGTCTGATCCTAACGCTTGCCAATGAGCCACGGATGGACTTTCCCCTGTTTGATCACTGAAGCACGCACTCAAGCCGTCGGGATGGTCTGCTCATTCCATTCTGACTCAGTGCTGTTCCCCCCCCCTCACTTAGCAGTATGCACATACCTGCATACTCCATAGGGAACCCTCCTTGCGGAGGTGTGATTCCTCATTTATGCGCATGGGGGGGAAAGGCAACCCCCCCCACTCATACGCATGTGCCTTCTGATCATGCGGTGATGGGCTGAGCCCACAGCTACAAAGGATGTGTGCTCGTGTAATACCTTGTCAATTTCCACTGGGGGAAATAGGCTCGCTTCCCCTCCACACCAAATGGCATGTCTGATTGCAGCCTCTCCCCACCCACCCCCAGCTGGCCCTAAAATTGCTTCTGCAAGGGTTCAAAGAGCAAGATTTAATCACTTCAGGTTCTGTTTACATTATCTGTAGATATGTGGCTGTTATCCTCATGGCTCACAACAGAGTTCAGCAACAATATGGTACTTGCCAAGGCCCAGCAGTCAGAGGATGGCTGCTGTAACATACATAAGAACATATGAAGTGCCCTCCTTGTTCAGACCACCAGGCTAGCAACCTATTGAACACAGTGGCTGGCAGCTGCCAGGATACAGATGCCAAGGTTTTTCCTTGATAGTGCCACTGACAGACCTCACTATCTTTGCACATGGAGGTTTCCTTTAATGTATAATTCAGGTAATAGGTAGTAGCTATTGACAGATCTATCCTCAATGGATCTTTCGAGTCCTTTCAATCCATCTTATGATAGAGTCCACCAGCAACAAATTCCTCCACTTAATTACTTGTTGAGTAAAGAAGTGCTTTCTTTCATCCATTCTAATTGTATTCACCATAAATTTTATCAGCTGCCCTGAATTATAGTATTATGGGAAAAAGAGAAAAAAATATCTCTGTCCAGTTTCTCATCCCATGCGTCATTATAAATTTCTGTCATGCCCCCCACAGTTGTGTTTTTCTGAACTGAAAAGCCAGAGATATTTCAGTCACCCCTTTATCATCCTATGCCCGTAATTATCTTGGATGCCTTCCTCTGTACTTTCTCCAGCTTTACAGTGCCTTTTTTGAGATCTTCATTTCTCAAAATGTATTTTTTTAAACTTCCAAATGAGACTGCACTATAGATCTATATGGGAGCATCAAAATATTAGCTACTTTATTTTCAGTCCCTTCCCTTGATAATCTCCAGCATGTAGTTTGCTTTTTCTTGTCATTGGTCCCGGTCACACGGAGGATTTGCTGCACTAAAGGCATGAATGTCAGGTGGATTTTCGGGGCATGATCACACTGCAACATCTGGGAAGCGTAGCACACCCGTGGCCAACCCGTGGCGTCCTGACAAAGATGCACAGTAAAAACGTACCTCAGAAAGTGCACTAGTATCCGGAAAACGTGGGGCAGGGGCAGGTGTCTGATTGCGGGAGTGCTAGAATCCCGTGGCATCTGGTGCCCGTCAATGTCTCGTCACAAACCGATTTTTTTCATAAGCGCATGCGCAACACATAATTGAAAGCAGTGCTGCTCCGCGGAACTGTGCATGCGCACAAACGCAAAACACTTCCCACGCCACTTCTTTGCCATGGTCCAGCATCGCTGTGTGATCGCCAGCTAACACCCTAAGCGCGAAGACTCAGGGGACCATGTGATCGGGCTACCATGCTTTATTTTGCTCCGGGGTGAACAGCCACGCCTCCCCCCCGCCACGTTATCTGGTCTGTGTGACCGGGGCCATTATCACTCTGAGGCAACATTTTCATTGAGATGTCTACTCCAAACGCAAGATGTCATTCCTTCTCAGTCACTGCCACTTTAGATCTCATCAGCAAATATTTAAAGTTAGGATTTTTTTTATTGCTCTAATGTCCACAACCTTGCACTTACCTAAGACTGAATTTCACATGACATTATTGCCAGCTTGCCCAGTTTGACCTTTGTTTTTATGTCATAGCTGCTAAGTGTACACAAGTCTTTGTCAAAAGCCTTTGGGAAAACCAAGTATGTCATGTCTACCAGATCACTCTGATCCACACACTTGTTAACCTTAACTCCTAAAGGCTGATGAGATAGAACTTCCATTTGTAGAAGTCATGCTGATTTTCCCTCAGCAGGCTTTATTCCTTTACATGCTTAATAACTATGTCTTTAATAAAAGTTTCTACTAATCTGCCCAGGACAGACATTAGGCTAACTGTGGAATGCCACCATGTATACTTGGGGCAGGGTTCCATAAAATTATGGAGACAAATAATTTATCTAGCAACACCAGTGATCTTCTTGAATATGATTTCCCCAGAGACCTCTATTACACGTAAATAGTTTGAGTGATCATGATGGATCTAAGGCCTAAGAATGTGGTCAGATTATATGTATAACTGACATTATGTATATTGTGCTTCCTCACTTCATGTGTCATATCTTTCATATCTTTCATTAATCAAGGTGTGGCCTTTTCCTTGAGGGGCCTCAAATCTAGAAGACTGATTACTCTGGTATTCTCCTTCTCAGTTAAATTAGTTCATCCTGCTTCTAATGAAATGAACAATGCTGTCATTTAAATTTATCAGTTTTTCTCACTATGATTTTATTCATACTAGAACATAGAAAATGTTCTCGTCTGCTGTCACCGCAAATATAAATTAATTTTTCAGTTAGTTCTCCTTCATTCTTTTTTCTCAGACTAGCAAGTTTATGACTTTATTTGTTTTGCTGTAAAGTCACAGTTGATGTATGGTGACCCATAGGGTTTTCAAGGCAAGAGAATAACAGAGGAGATTTGCCATTGCCTTCCGATGCATACAAACCATGGATTTCCTTGGTGGTCTCCCATCCAAATACTAACCAGGGCCTGACTCTTCTGAACTTCTGAGATCTGCTGAGATGAGGCTAGCTTGGGCCCATTCCATTCCCTAACATCATGAGCTTTTGGAAATTACCCTCAGTTGTACTTTTGAAAATACATTTGAAAAATAAGAACAGATATGGGACTCTGAGAACCTTAGAAGTTTACAGAACTTCAAAAATGTCATATGTTAATATATTGATAACATAGTGTGACTTTATACAGACACATTAGTCTTCCATCATATAACCCAACAATCAGTGTACATTTAAAAATTAAAGGAACTAGTTTTTAATGAACAAATTTCACCAAACCAGCTTTATAAGTTTATATTTAATAGATGCATTAATAGACAATTTTAGTCCAAAATGTTTACTATAATATTTCATAGTAATTCAATTAACAGTTACATTCCAGCAGAACTGGATAAAGTTAAGATTAGGACCTAGGATGTGCCAAACTTAAGAGGCTCCATAGCATTACTGAAAGAATGCAAAACTTGAAATTTAGTACATGTCTTGTGTTTAGAAGGGCTGTAAACAGTGTTTTACTTAGCTTGTGTGTAAATCCAGCTCAGCATACCAGTGGGTGGGATCCAAAAACTGCAAGTGGAAAGAAATTTGCAGCTTGTATTGTTCCACAGATGCTTATATAACAGCTTACTCAAGAGTTCACACCGTACTATGATAGGTCATTTCTATGGTAGTTCTTGTGTTTCTGCTTGTACAAGAGATTACACAGAATTTTGTGCAGTTAGTAGGGGAATCTCTGGATTCATTTCCCCCCTGCCTTGTTCTCTTGGCATGTTTTGAGTCTTCCATGACTTGAAGCTACTTTCTGCATGTGGAAGGTCTGGTTCCATTTCATTAAGTTTTTACTAAGAGATGGTCTATATGCATTTTGCATTATCTTTGGGCTGGTTCACCTGTGATTACTCATTTTGAGTATTTTAGTTTTTTATTGTCTTTAATGTCAGATAGGATCTTTGAAAAAGAAAGGCTTGAGTAGAATTTTTTGTTAGCATTGTTCACAAGGGATAATCATTTAGATTACTGCATTACTGCAGAATTGTCACCCAAACCACTATGCTGCATTGCTGGCCAACTGCATATCTAGTGGCATCATTGTTCTTCAGATCCAATCTATAAATTGATTATCAGGTTGTCATGAGTACCTATAGGGTAGTATCAGTGACTGTAATAAAATATTTATTATTTAGAACCAGCATAATGGCTAACAGTGCACTGTGAGCTTCAAATCTAACCTCAGTGATGAATTTACTAGATGAACTGCTCTGCTCTGCAATATGAAGAAAATAATATTGAGCAATTATTATAATTACAATTACTGAGATAATATGAAATACATATAAATGCTGAGTGTTATTATCAGATGGCCAAGGGAAGTTGTAAGGACAAGTATATTTCTTGCTGTGTTTCCATAATTGCTTTGGAACCATTACAATGCCATCCAAAGAAGAGCTACACCCTTCTAAGACGATTGAGTTCAGTAGATTTAGAAGAGTGTAGATGTTTTGGATTATAATCTAAATTAACTACATGATATTCCCAAAAACCAGTCTTGGCAAACTGTGATTTCTACTTAAAAAAAACTTTTAAAAAAGTAATTTGTGTTGCTGTTGACTCTTAGCATCTACCAGTTGTTTGTACTATAGTGGATTAATTATTGGCATGGGTACTATAGGACATTCCTCTTATTTTAAATGTGTAGTATTCCTTATACTCCAGTCAAATGTATAGAAGGTCTGTTCCTTTTTCTAGTTCAAAAAAAGCTGATTCTATGCCAATATAAAGCAACTTACTAGTTTAACCCTCACTATTTATGCCCTTGTTAGCCGCCCTGAGCCTTCGGGGAGGACGGGATACAAATCTAAAGAATAAATAAATAAATTTATATTTCATTTTGTACACTTAAAACTCTGTCTTACATGGTGCTGCCTTATTTTATTCTAGGATCATCAAACAATTTTAAGAGCATGGGCAGTTAAAGATTTTGCACCCAATTGTCCTCTGTATGTGCAGATACTGAAGCCTGAAAATAAGTTCCACATCAAATTTGCAGGTAAGCCTGAGGTGTTGGTGCCATTTATATCTGAAGGATACTTCAGCTTCAAACAATTGTCTTCTGAGATCAGTGAAACATTTTTTTATTATTAATTTTTTTCAATAGCCATTCAGATGTTTCTGGAAGGTCACAAACAGGACATGAAAGCAAGGTGCACATCATCTTTCCCCCCAAAGATCTACTTCCTCTATACATGAAGGCTCCATTTAGTCATTGATAGATCTATCCTCCATGAATTCTTCTGTTTTTATGTGAAAACCATCTGTGTGAAAGCTACCATTCCTCCCTTTGTGGGCCCAAAGAGAGATATCAAGGGATGGAGAATCGAGGCCTCAGGGTACCTTGCTAGTCCTCTGCACTGATGCCCCACTGATACTCCTGTGTGCTCCATGCCTCTTGTCCAGGCTGCAAAAGAAGCTTCTGGAGCCTCAGAGCAAAAGCTAGTTGACTTAGGAGGGGAGGGGAGGGAGGAACCAGCAAACACAGAGACTCCCCCCCCGCCTCAATCCAGGGATTGGCCAAGACTTGCAACACCCAGACCCTGCACTCCCTGGAGAGATTTGCCAAGTCCTTACCAAGTCAACATGCATCTTGGCCTTGGGCTGATTTTTAAAAATTATTTTCCTAATTTTAGAGTTTTTATTATTAGCGGCTTTTGTTTTTCAGGTTTATGGCTGTTTTGTCTGATTTTTATGTTTGGTTCTAAATGTTTTATGACTGTTTAGGAGGGCCTTCTTATAAATGGTATTGGGTTGTATGTGATAAAGGGCAGGATTTAAAATAAAGGGAATAAGATGGATAGTTTACTTTACACAGAGAGTGATTAAAATGTGGAATTCACTGCCAGAGGATGCAGTGATGGCCACAGGAATAAACAGCTTTGAAAGGGGATTAGATAGATTCATGGAGGATTGGTCTATCAGTGGCTGCTAGCCATGGTGACTGAAGGGAACCTCCAGATTTGGAGGAACTAAGCCTCTGAATCCTGGAACCAGGAGGCAACATCAGGGGAAGACCGTGGCCTCTATGCCCTATTGTTGACTGTCCAGAGGAACTCGTTGGCCACTGTGTAAGACAGGATGCTGGACTAGATGAACCATTGGTATGATCCAGCAGGTCTCTTCTTACGTTCTTATGTTTTTTCTGTGTGCAGGTTTTTTTAAAATGGAGACATATACAATCATGTAACCCCCCGCATACACAGTTCAGGCACATTGGCCGCTTGTGCATACCAAGCCTTAGAATACATAGTAGAATATACTCAACACTTCCCTGCTGGCTACATGTGCAAGGGGAAAACCTGTAGTGGTGGGCAACATGCCTCTGCTATGGGGGAGGGCTGTGGCTTAGTGGTACAGCATCTGTTTGGCATACAGAAGGTCCCAGATACAAACCCCAGTGTTTCCATTTAAGTATCAGATAGTAGGTGATGTGAAAGACCTCCACCTGAGACCCTGGAGAGCTGCTACTAGTTAGAGTAGACATTACTGAGTTGGATGGACCAAGGGTCTGATTCAAACATTTAGATTGAGTGGGGACAGTCTGTCTGGAAATGTATCTGTTCACAAACTGGCACAAACCTCCACAAACAACTTGAGAATTCACGGGAAGGTTGTGCTGGTTGACCTGCCTTGAACTTCACTTCACAAACCATGAACTGTACAAAATTCACCACGAACCTTAGTTTGTGAGCAAGTTCGTGCTCATCCCTAGTTCTTATCTTGCAGAGGCCAATCAGTTTGGCATCCACTTGTTCTCTTGCATCCCGGCTGGTGATGTGATCGTGCTGTGAGATATTTCTTAACAGAAATAGAAATTTTGTATCATTGGTGAAAACTATAATGCAGTGCTTTTCTGTGGAGCTAGTTCACACATCCATAAGCATATTAGAAAGCAGAGAAGCCTCAAATGAAGTCAGTTTCAGGAACAAATTCACTCCAGCTAAGAGTTCAGATGTATAAGAGTAATGGTAAATAAATGTAAGGGATACAACAGTATAACATTCTTTTGGAAATTATCACTGAAGTGGAGGCATTGTAGCCACATATTTTTATACGCCTTGCATAGGATTTTTTTTATCTTCTTGCAATTGGAATTTGATTTGGCATTACATTATGCAATTGTATTTCTTTGGGAAAAAAGTACTTCTTAATCTTAGTGGTTTACTGATAATTTATTCGAAGAGAGTTGGATGTGCTTGTGTACAGTACAGGAGTGAAATTCTTTTATGTTTTATGCATAAGGAGAGAAAGTAACACAAATTGATTTCTTTATTTTTAGGAAACTGACTGTAATGGTGTACAATGTACTGTGAGCAAAACAACAAGTTGTTCATTTCAGCTTCCAAAAACATTCATACCGTTTTTTGAGATTAAGTGCTTGGCTCATTTCCTGCTTGTTGTTCATGAAAATGATTTTCCAAAAGCCAGTTGTTTTTCTAGGATATTCTCCTTTTTGCACTGCTCCTGCAAGCTCTTCTGCGCTGAAATCGTTCAACTCAAATTAGCACCTTTTCTGGATTTATTATTTATTTTAAAAATTCCCAGCTCACCTTTCCATTTAAAATAGCCTTCACATAAGCTACAATAAAACTATAAACAGATTTAAGCAAAATATAATCACTAAAACAACTAACAGAAATGCTCAAATTAATCAGCAAGGAGTAAAACCTCAGCAGAAGTCGGTGTCAGGACAAATCAGACAAAAATGTTTAGGTACATAAAAATGTTTCAAATCCATGCCTAAAAAAAAGTTGAGCCTGTTCTAGTATCTCCAGGGAGGGAACCCTATGAGTGAGAGGTCATCACCCTGGTCACCATCTACCTAATCCCTGACATGAGGGTACCAAAAACCTCAGAGCCTCTGAACATGATTGCAGGTGGGCAGGTTCATGTAGGAGCAGGTAGTCCTCCAGGTACTGAGCACTAAGCAGTTTCGGGCTTTAAAAGTTGAGACTGACACTTTGATTTGAATTGTGCCAGAAAAAACCCAAAAACTTTTAATACTGTACAGTATGACTGTAAAGATGCAGGTAACCTGGGTCTCAAGTCCAGCTGGATGCATTGTCTTGAGCTTCATCTTGAGCAGGAGTATGAACCTGAGATGGTATGGCTGACGTTGCTGGGTCCACTGGGTCATATTCCTGCACATCCTCTGTGAATTATGCCATCACATGTCGTGCCCTTCCACCCACTACACTAGACAATGAAACCAGCCCCTTTGCCAAGGAATAAATGGACATAAGTCTGACATGGTCTTGGTTCCTTGAATCTGCAGTGGTTTATACAGAATATTGTCATACATCTGAGACACATCTTGGCTGTAAAGGGGAGGCAAGCCAAACAGCATTTCATAGAGAACTGCTCCAAGGCACCACCAGTCTACTGTTCTTTCTTCAGCACTTCTGGAGCCAAATACTCTGGGGTGCCACAGACTGTAGAAGGTCCAAAGTTGATGTTGTCAGTTGGCAATGTTGACTGGCCATTATAATCTGGGCTTCTGGAACAGTCCATTAAGAAAGCCACCAGCAGAGTAAGCCCTCCCCAGCAGGAGAGTCAAAGCCATGTTAAGTAACACATCCTAGTTTGTGCTGAGAATGAAGGGAAGTCTTATTGAGAAGTTTTATTGTTATTGAGACCCCTGAGCTAGGGGAGATTGCACTCTTCCAGCATACTCTTCCTCTCCTGTGCTCAGGAATTTCCAATGTCATGGCTGATCCCAGGTGCCTTTATGAGGCTGTGAAAGGAGTTATTAAAACAACCACGCCCAAAATAAGATGACAACACCACTAACCAAGGGGTCTTGGCTGGGGGAGGGAGTAGGGTCCTTACACACTTTACTAGTAACCCAAAGGCTTTCATTACTATGAAAATCCCCAAAAGACCTGTATGGCAGTTAGCAACACTGAAGTGAAAGTCTTCCAGAAAGGGCTCTTCTTAGTGTAGCAAGTCTGCTTTGCATTTCAGATTCTTAACAGAGCTCAGACATCTGTTGAAATAACACCTGTCTTTATTGGAGGTTCTCCCAGATCCTCAGAATTATTTTTCTCTTTGCTATCTGAATTTGGCTGTCTCCGATATTTCTTCCTCAATTCCTGTGGGGTGGTGCCCCACAACTTCAGGTTCATCCAAGCCTTGCTCAGCATCAATGGGCCCCCAGCCTGGCTGACATATTGTGATTAAGCAGCCATATGGTCCAGCCCTTTCCTCTGCCTCAAGGTAGGAACCACTTAGTACACCATTGTATCCATGAAATACTTACTGGGGATGCCCTATTCACTTTGCTGTGTGACAGAATTCTCT